TATAACGATTCTTGTTTTTCGTCCTACATCCACCAACTTGCTCTTTTGGTACATTCTGCCATCTCGATCCTTATTCTCTGATACCTTGTTCACTTTGTGTTCCATTTGTAATTATGTTCACTGCGACCTTCGTTTTCCCCCATTTTGGGCCACTCCTGTACGGAGGATTATGTTGTACATTTGATCATGCCTATGCATACCTCACGGGGCTCCGTGAAATATACACTTATTATTATTATTATTATTAATCTCTATGTGGGTTTTAAAAATTGCGTCCGAAATCTCTTTGTACATTAATTTCTGGTTCTCAACCGTCACCTTTTACTTTCATTGTTGTCAGTTTGATCGTGCGCACTGGCATGCTTAACCGGGTTCCTGAAATATATCGTTATTATTATCATTATGAACCGCTTTCCGAAAAGGTACTTGTGCAGTCGTCAAGCAGCCCACAATACAGCCAACGCTTCTTTTTGAGTCTGTGAGTATCCCTTTTAGGCCGCATTGAGTAGACGTGAAATGCAGATCACTGGGCATCCTCCCTGTTTCAATATAACACCGATTCCGACGTCGAATGCATCGGTGATGAGTGTAGTAGGTTTTGAAGGTGAAAATGGGGCCAGAAAAGGACGATCAGTAACGCAGCGAATTAAACCACGTAAGATATCTTCACACCCCACCGACCATTCCCAAGCATCTGAACACTGAGCACGGAAAAGCGGCTGCACCCTTGTAGCAAAGTTCGGGATAAATCGGGAATAGTACTGTAGGTATCCCATCACCGATCTCAAATGCGTTTGATCCTTTGGAGATTAGATGTTAGTCAATGGTTTGAACTGTGTCGGGTCGGGACGGTATCCACGGGAATCAACTGTGAATCCTGGAAACTCCAACTTACTCACTCCAAACACATTCGAACGGCTTGATAGCCACATTCCTGGCGGCAAATCGTTCCAGTAGCTGCGTAAGACGGGCATCGTGTTCTTTCTCATTAAGGCCGAAAATGAGGACGTCGTCTTGATATTCAAGCCCACCGTCGAGTCCTTTGATTACACTGTCTATTGCCAAGTGAAAGAGGCCAGACGACACATGCGATCCGAATGGAAGAAAATTGTACTGGTACATTCCCCACGGCGTGTTGATTGTTGTCAAGTAGCGAGATTCAAAATCGAGTGGTATCTGTAGGTATGCGTCCGCAAAATCGATCTTGGAAAATACTGGCACCCATGCATTGACTTCATGAAATCCTCTGATTCCATGGTGGTCGCTGCACATCTCCGCAATCTGGGATTCACAGCCAATAGTTTCCACAGATCCGTGGTGTCCTACCATCACTTTTCATCGCCACAACGATCGGGGTCGCCGAGGCACTGGATTCAACTTTGCTCATTACACCATCCTGCTCCACTTTCTTAATGCTTTCAGGACACCTTCCCGTTGACCGCATGGGAGAACGCGTCGTTTTAGGAAAATAGATTTACCGTCCACTTCGAACTTTACCGACGATATTTCCATGCCACCAACGTGACCGGAACACTGTACAATCAAATGTTGAAGATGTGAGGTGATTAGTATATCATTGTTGGTATGTAGTGTGATTGATCCTTATAGTAGCCGCATTGTTCGCAGGCCCAGAATAGACGGACTATGGGCTGATACCAGGAATCGGATTGGGATTGATACGCCGGATTCAGATTAAACACACAACAGCGTTTCGCCAAATAATTGCAACTGATAGCCAGTAATCCCATGAATACGTACAGAATTTGGGGATAGAACAGTATTAGGACAAATTACAGTGAGTGCTGATTTGGGTAGGATAGATTCGCTGCTTCCTGTGTCCATGATGAATCGATGCTTCACATCAGACTCGAACATCAGTGGGTCGAACACGAATTGGCCATTGGGTTCAGTGGTCTATAGCGTGTAGATTGAGCTTGACTTCTCATCTGCCGTTGGGATACGGAAATCGATGAGGTTGCACTTGGGCATTTGGCGGATATGGCTCATCTTACCGCATGCATGGCATGTGGCATTACGGAATCGACAAGCCGAACGAAGATGGTATTCACCACATGAAAAGCAGCGGTTGGTCCCAGCCTTCGTTGTGTCCTGCTTGAACTGGATATTTGAGGTACCTGGGGTGAATTATGAACCTTTGGGTGCGTCACATAATGGTTTCGTTCATTGCCGACGGAATACCACAGGAGTATCCGCATTTTTGGCAGCACACAAATCATCAATTTGCTCACAGATCTTTCGAGCCTCAGTGAACGTGATATCTTTCTTTTCCAACATCTTACGCTGTAATGGGGTGTTGTTGATTCCAGTTCTGAGACCGCCACAAAGTTGTTCTTCCAATCGGTCACCATAGTTGCATTTTGACGCCTGTTTGTTCAACTGTAGTATGAACTCATGGCACGGCATGTTGTAAATTATCTTCATTGAGTTGAATTTGGCCCGTTCAGTGGCCTGAAAATCCACGGGGAGAATGTGCTCCAGCAATAGGAATTTCAAATTCTCGAACGGCAATTCCGCAGGAACATTCAGGAACGCTAGATTCTTCACAAGAGAATACAGCTCTTGGTCGCCCAACGTCAAAAATATGACCAACTGGTTTTGCATTCCTCCTTTCCGGATGCTGAACCATAATTCACAAGGGAGGAGCACAATCCCAAGTGAAGCATTATAGGCTGGTGGGCCTAACGAATATCTTGTGCAAGTGCCTAGAAAGGATAGTGAGGACGCACACTGCACAGCGTTTACTCCAAAACTCACTGCTTACTGATCAACAGCACGGGTTTACCAAGAGTAGATCATGCTTATCTAATTTACTGTGTTTTTCAGATGATTTAACCTCGAGGTTAGATGAGAGAAAACTGTGGAAGTCTGTTATTTAGACTTTTGCAAAGCTTTTGATTCCGTCAATCACAAGTTTCTGTTAGCTGAGGTCAAACACAAGGGGATAGGTGGGCATATACATAGCTGGATCAGGGAATTCCTGACTGGTCGTAGGTTATAGGTGAGGATTGGAGACAAAGTATTAGCCAAAGTCATACCCACTAGTGGAGTACCATAGGGCTCAGTGCTTGGTCCCTTACTGTTTCTCAGTTTTATAGACGACTTGGCTGCCATCCTACGTTATCCATGCTTCATCTTTGCAGATGATGTCAAGATCGTGGGACCAGCCGGTCGGCAACAATTGCAGGATGAACTGCGCAGAGCAACGGAATGGGCAACAGTATGAGACCTCCCACTGAATGCAGACAAAAGCAATTTACTTTCCCGTGCTGATGAACAATTGTCAATCCAACCACGTGGAAGGGATTTGACTGCAGGGATTTTAAGGATCAGCCTAGACTGAGGAATATCAGTGGCTTTAGGTTTCCGCTGAGATAACCAGTGTCTACTGGCTGCGGTGAGGGCCAGGAGAGAGCTGTTCTGGATCAAATGGGTACTATCGTGTAGGAAACCCGACGTATTCCTACCCCTGTACGAAGCCATAGTTAGACCAAAGTTAGGAGTACTGCGTGCAGTCTTGCGCACTCTTCTTCAAAAAGGATGCAGCCTGTTTCGAGAAAGTTCAAAGACCAGCCACCCGAATGATGGAAGGCCAAAAGAGTAAGTCATAACAAGACAGGCTAAAAGACTTGTGACTCTTCTCGCTAGATAGGAGGAGACTAACGGGTGACCCACTGGAAATGTTTAAGATTTTGAAGGGGCTCTCGGGAGTAAGGAAAGTGGGCATGATCCAGGAGGCTATCCACCAAGAAACTAGAGGGAATGGGTATAAACAACATAAGCAGCGATGCAATCTGGTTGTTGTCTTTAAGTGACGCTCGGGTTCGAGGCTGGCGCCCAATGGTCCCGGATCCTTGATGGTTTCTTGTCGTCTGTCAGATCCAGCTTCTTTAGCAACAGAGTGGTGAACAGGTGCAACCGGTTGTCAAAAGAATTAGTAGATTTAGGAAGCATGACTGCATTTAAGCTCGCCCTGGCTGAGACATGGTTAGAGCTCTTTCCATAGTAGGATCTTTATTGTACTATGGAATGCTATCATGACCCATGTCCCTTGTTCGCCGATGAGGTGAAAAGAGACGAGCTTTTTCTTTTCCCTTTCAGCAAGGACGCTGTACTGAAGGCAATTCGCAGTGGTGGGTGCACACCTTGTGAGAATTGCTGGAAGAAATCTGGACGCTCGATTGGCCGTGGCCATTTTCAGTCCTGTACAACCTGACGTGACCTGACCACCTAAAGGGTTGAAATGACATTGGGGAACAAGGGAGACCACTACTGCCTCCCAGCGAGAACCGAATGTTAAGGAGTAAAGACCTTAAGTTAGCTAAAATCAGGGTTTCCACCCACGTAAGGCAGCAATCGTTTGCCATAAGAGTGTTGAACGCCTGGAACAGGCTATCTAATGAAGTAGTCAATTCCAGTTCGGTGAAGAGCTTCAAGACCCGCCTGCACTCCGTATGGCAAGGCCTTTTCACCTAAGAAGCCGCCTAACCAAGGTGATCTTCCGGAAGCTCCACTTCCTCCTTCTCCCCAAGCTTCTCTCACTTACTCTCGCGCTCTTTATCCATTACAACTACGTTCTATTCTTTCCATACCATATCCCCATGCCGTCAACATTACCCGATCACTAACTTACCACTAGAAATCCCCATCCCTTTCGGCCGGGGTTGTAACTTGGTTGATGCCGGTGTCACGGTCTGCTGCCCTGATCCATTAGGCGTGACCGAATGTGGCGCAAGATTGGGAGGTAAACACCCCACTCTCCTGGAGGTTTGATCGCAAATTTCAAGAGAAAGTCATCTTGTTTTTCCATCTGTCGCAGCATCGAGGATCCCTGGAGCCCACCGCTGCAAGAACCTGAACTAACTGGCACACCGCCGTCAACTTATTCTTTCAAGAAACCTCGGGGAAGTGAAGTAAAGCGTACCTGCCCGAAAGGATGTTCCGTGTTAGGGTCCAACAGGAAACCTCGGGGACGGCAGCAGTCGGTATTGGGGTACCTCAAGGCCCAGTCCTTGATTCTATACTATTTGTGCTGTATGTAAATGACGTCTCTGAGGTCTTCCGGTGCCCTAGGTTCCTAATTTCAGATGACCTTAAAGTAGTAGGGAACCCCTCATCTGGGGATTTACAGGATGCACTCAACGCAATTGATGACTGGGCGACCTCATGGGAACTACCTCTCAACGGCAACAAGTGCAAGCATCTGCTGCTAAATAGAGGGTCCGCGGAGGTGCGACAACTAGGCGCTGGATCGATGAACACCATAGAACCTGCAGATGTAGTCAGGGATCTAGGGGTGCAGATACACTCCTCCTTTAAGCTCTCAATGCACTGCGCGGCAGCCGCAGCGAAGGGCCTTATTCTAACTCTGCCAAACGGTAATATCGAGGGAGGCTTCGATAATCTTGCCATTGTATAAGGCGTTTGTGCGGCCACATCTGGAGTACTGTGTCCAGGTTTGGGTCCCTCACCTAGTGAGGTATAAACAACTACTTCGGAATGTAGAAAGAAGGTTCACCCGGATGATCAGTGTACTGTAGGGAAAGTCCTACAAAGAAAGGCTGGCGGCTCTTAACTTATTCTCATTAAATCGCTGTCGCCTGATGGGGGACTTGATTGAGACGTTAAAACAGCTCAAAGGACCGTCAGTAGCAGATAGATCCCTGTTTACACGAAATCTCAACCCAACCTTCAGGGAGCATGCTCTGAAGCTGATCAAACCACGGGCCAACGGAAGTGCCGGGGCACAGTTTTTCTCCCACCGCGTGGTAAACGCATGGGATAAACTTCAACCTACAGTAGTAGCAGCATCCAGTGTTCTACAATTTAAGCGGAGACCAGACAACTGCTGGGACGAGGTGTTTCCAGAGTGTGACTAGTACAATTCTCAATCACTACCCACATCTTCCTTTTGTAGCCTTTGCCTATTTCTACCATCATTCCTTTTTCATCACGCACCTCACGCACAATTAACACAAAAATTCTTTTTCTGTCATCAGACCCGGGAAGCTGTCATTGCCGGTGTAGCAGTCCGCTGAGGTGCGGCGCCTGTCAAATGATTGAGACTGATGTTATCTCCTAGGGCGATCCTGCTTTTCATCTCTTCCCTTGTAGGTACAACACCCATCACAACTGTGGAACCACCTGGCAGTCACAGCTCAGTAGGAATCACCAGCTCACAACTGCAAGAACCTGGACGTCCACTGGCAGAAGCCTAAAGTCCTGTGACCTGACTTGACTTGACTACCCGTGTGCTGATAAGATTTGGGTTTAGAAAGTGGACACAGCTGCCTGGTTAGCATGTGCCACTGACTTGAGGCAAGTGAAACAGGTGAAAACCATATTGGAAACATTTTTATTACGGAGGAAGAGGTCACAATAATTGTAAGTGTATGTTTCAAAATTCATTGTGTTCCACAGATACAGGTTAAAGCTGAATCCGTGTACTGATACGAATTGGGTTTAGCTCTGAGGCCAAATTGTTGGTGATACCAGCAATGTTGACGGTTGGAGCTTACTGGTTGGTGGTTTTGCGTGTCTGCGAAATCGAGCGACATCGATATCGGTTGCCGCTGAATTAGCGTGAGCGAGAAAGGTGAAGAAGCAACTGTTACATCTGCAGCTCTATGTTTATCATGCGCGAGCTGATGTCATCACAACGAGGAGCGGTCGCTGTTTGGTTGGACCAAGTGGTAATTCTCTGCGAAGCTGGGTTTCCTTCGAACATTTTATCCGCGGCCATTATCATTTCATCCAACGAACTGTTGGAGAATACAGAAAAATTCTTTGCGGATGTGTGGAGGACGACACTTAAAACAAATCCGTCGATGGATTGCGTTATCCAGAACTCTGTTACCAATGCGTTGTCTCACGTAGTACAACAACTAGGACAGAGTGCGGTCGCCAATTTCGTGGTCGCCGAACTGGTTTGTCTAATCGGCATTCGTCCGACACAGCTGTGCGGTTTATTAAGGCATCCTTTAATTCGGTGTATGGGTCATTTTCCGACATGTTGAGAATGAACTGAAATACTTACTCCAGAATGTTTGTAGGTAGAGAAGCGGTTATGTGCGAGTACAAACTCGTTTGGGAGCGGATACAATATGCACGGAAATGAGCTTTGGCTTGGGTTAATCATAACTGGTGGCTATTAGTACCGAATTCAGATAAATCAATATGGGGAGGTATGGTAAAGTCTTCTAGGTTACGTGTTGAGTGTTCAATATAAAACGCTCACAGTCAAAAAAATTATTATTTCTGAAGAACCGAGGCTCAATAAATACGCAGTGGTGAGGTTACTGCATATAATAATACGTTATATTTCACGAACCTCGTGAAGCATGCTAGTGCGCATGATCAAGTGTACAACAGTGATGTAAAAATGAAGGTTCAGACAAAGAGCAATATTACGGAGAGAGTGCTAACGGGTGCAGTAGATATCGTAATGATGTTTTGCGGTGAGAAAGGAACACAAAGCGAAAAACGTCATTTAATGGAGCTGGTTTGGACAGTACATAAATGCGAAACGTCTGTCATGTGGAGAACATTCAGGGGGAAGAATCACTGGAGGCCAGAATATCCGCTTAGAAGAAAATACGCAGAGCCAAGTTCAAAGACCAGGAGGAGAATGGCTATAGTGAAAGGGTCGAATTTCAAAGGAAGAACTTCAATCAAGCCAAAGAAGTGCTCTATGATACAAAAAGGACGGCGAGCGGCTTTTAACTAAACGGTTTTAAGGATTCATCCATCAAGACTGTCTTCTGTGAACGAGGAATATTGGGCTTCGGGGTTTTGCTGTTAACGAATTGTATGGTTTGTATTATTTATAATACTAATAATAACAATAATAATGTATATTTCACGAAGCCCGTGAAGCATGCACAAGGCATGATCATGTGTTCAAGATAATCATATGTACAACGACAGTACATGTATATAGATAGTCTACTTGGAAGACGTACGTAATGAAGATGGTAGGGGAGCAGAACGAAAACGCTGTGCAAACGGAACACAAAGCGGACGAGGTCACAAACGTAGATGTGGAGAATGAAGGAATGTGCTGTATAAGTATATCAATCGAAATTGAAGTAACTGCTAACCCGTTATCGAGGGGATTCGACATGCGGCTATAATAGATACGGAGAGACAGCCTGTAAGACAATAAACGGGAGAAAATAGAGTCACGCGGATAAGAATAAATAGAAAGGAGTACAGCGAGTTCATGC